ATCGGTCCTGATTTAGATATATCTCCCATATATAGTTTCGTCCGATTTCATGTAAATGGTGCCCCAAAGTCCCTATATATCTTTTGATTTGCACGAAATTTGGTACAGCCTAATCATTTAGGTCTAGAATGATGTCTGCCAAGTTTCGTGAAAATAGGTCAAGATTTACATATAGCTCCCATATATAGTTTCGTCCGATTTCATGTAAATGGTGCACCAAAGTCCCTATATATCCTTCGATTTGCACGAAATTTGGCATAACGTACTGAATTGAGCCTAGAGTGATGTCTGCCATGTTTCGAGTAAATCAGTCCAGATTTCTATATAGCTCCCACATATAGTTTCGTCCGATTTCATGTAAATGGTGCACCAAAGTCCCTATATATCCTTCGATTTGCACGAAATTTGGCATAACGTACTGAATTGAGCCTAGAGTGATGTCTGCCATGTTTCGAGTAAATCAGTCCAGATTTCTATATAGCTCCCACATATAGTTTCGTCCGATTTCATGTAAATGGTGCATCAAAGTCCCTATATATCTTTCGTTTTGCACAAAATTTGGCATAACGTACTGAATTGAGCCTAGAGTGATATCTGCGTTGTTTCGTGAAAATCGGTCCAGATTTAGATATAGCTCCCTTTTATTATAGATTGATTTTAAGTAATTGACGCACCAAGAACCAATAGGAACAATACGTTCTGAAATTAGTGTAACCTATCCTGTGACAAGTTTGTTTGAAATCGCTTAATATTTGGATAGAGCTTCCATATATATTTTCGCCCGATTTCAAGTAAATTGGGCATCAAACTCCTCATGTTAGTCAGTTTGACGCCAAATTTTGCACAACATACAAAATTGAGTATAGAATTATGTAGTTGCGTTTTCTAGAAGTACAGACATAGCCCAACGGATGACCCATTTATATTTGTTTGAAGTCGATTTACATACTTTATGGATAGATCTACGTAGATTCATATTTAGATAAATTTCACATATTTTATTTCATCCAATTTCATGCTAATAGTCCTGTTTAATATACCCATAGTGGTGAAGGGTATCATATAGTCGGCCCCGTCCGACTTTACTACTTTCCTTACTGGTTTTTTTTTTTTTTTTTTGTTTTGCGGGTGTGGTTGTGTAAGATCATTTGTTTCTGAAATCTCACCTATTCGAAAAAAATGCATTTTTCCTATATTTTCCAATATTTTTGCCTTGTGTCTCAATTTTTTCCTTCAGGAAGTATAATTATATGGGTGAGATGCCTAAATGCTGACCGATATATTTCATTATCGTCAGGTTCGACTTTTTTTTACCACGATTTCCTTAGAAAGCGGAATGATTACAACCGGTGGCTAAATCGTCTTAGAATTCGTCTTAGGGTAAAACTGACAATTTCGAGTAACGATTATCTTCTATACTATGGTAGAATACGCCTATATGGGGACAACCACTACACACAGAACTAATCAGCTAACTATTTTAATATAACTATTTTAATCCGAACTACCCATTTATATTAATCATTTTTGGTAGGAAGATTTCTTACTATATGCGACTACAAAATACCAAATTCCAGCGAATTCGGTTGAAAAACGCGCCCAAGAATCCCAAATTAACGAAAATTGAGGGTGTCTTATATGGGGGCTACCCGAAAAAAGGGGCCTATATTTATATATAAATTTGGTACCCAATAAGAACCCATTGTACCAAATTTAAGCGGTTTAAAAACGCGCTAAAACCCCCCAAAATACCGTAAATGGGGTGTACCGTTATATGGAGGCTACCAGTAAAAGTGGACCGATATTTATAATTTTTAGTGGTGACATTTGGTACCCAATGTACCAAATTTCAGTTGAAAAAAGTCGGTTGAAAAGCGTGCTCAAGAACCCCAAAATATGGGGGCTATGCCTAAACGTGGACCGATATAGCCCATCTTCGAACTTGCATCTCGAACCTGCCTGCAGACAAAAGACGACTCTATGTAAAATTTTGGCGATCTATCTCAATTCCTTCAGAAGATAGCGTGATTATAACAGATGGACGGACAATGCTAGATCGTGTTAGAATTTTACCCTGATGAAGAATATATACTTTACAGGGTCGGAAATTAATATTTCAATGAGTTACAAACGGAATGACAAAATTAATATACCCTCCATACTAAGGTGGAGCGTAAAAAAACAATGGGTTACCTGTTCCTACTGAATTTTCTCTTGACATCGATGTCCTCTTCGTAGAAGAAAATTGTTTTTTCTATGATTTTCTCCATTTTCTATCGAAGAAATTCCACAGTTCATTAAGGTCTCAAACTTTACCACCAAGAATACAAAGACGTAAAGGTATCAATTTTGTATTTATACAAAAAAAAAAATCAGACTCTTCGCATCCCATAAATAAAATCCATACCCATTATATCTTTTTTTTCTAGAATTAAATTGGATCTCGCAGAATCTATTTTTTTATATAAAGAGAATTTAAGGGTTTTAATTGATTAACTTAATCCCAGAGTTTTCATTACAAATTCTAACATCTCAAAATAGTTAAAATTTTTGGAAAATGAGAATTTAGATAATTATCCCAAATCTTTCTATACCCTTCACCACACTGTGGTACAGGGTATTATGTCTTTGTGCATATGTTTGTAACAGGCAAAAGGAAACGAGATAGACACATGGTTCCTTTTGAGAATATGCATAGAATCACTTTCTAAGTCCATTTATGCATGTCCGTCCGTCTGTCTGTCTGTCTGTGCATGTTAAATTGTAAACAAAGTACAGGTCGCATTTATGATCCGAATTGGATGAAATTTGGCATAGGTCACTTATTCGGCCCAAGGACGAACCCTATTGAAATTGGGAAAAATCGGTTCAGATTTAGATATAGCTCCCATATATATATTTAACCGATTTAATGTAAACAGTCCCTATATATCTTTCGATTTGCACGAAATTTGGTACAGCCTAATCATTTAGGTCTAGAATTATGTCTGCCAAGTTTCGTGAAAATCGGTCCAGATTTAGATATAGCTTCCATATATAGTTTCGTCCGATTTCATGTAAATGGTGCACCAAAGTCCCTATATATCTTTCGATTTGCACGAAATTTGGCATAACGTACTGAATTAAGCCTAGAGAGATGTCTGCCAAGTTTCGAGAAAATCGGTCCAGATTTAGATATAGCTCCCATATATAGTTTCGTCCAATTTCATGTAAATGGTGCACCAAAGTCGCTATATATCTTTCGATTTGCACGAAATTTGGCATAACGTACTGAATTAGGTCCAGAATGATGTGTGTTAAATTTCGTGAAAATAGGTTCAGATTTAGATATAGCTCCCATATATATTTTCGTCCGATTTTATGTAAATGGTGCAACAATGTCCCTATATATCCTTCGATTTGCACGAAATTTCGCATAGCATACTGAACTAAGTCTAGAACGATGTGTGTTAAATTTCGTGAAAATCGGTTCAGATTTAGATATAGCTCCCATATATATTTTCGTCCGATTTTGGATTTATAAGTAAATTTGGATTTATAAGTAAATAAAGAACTCAAAATGTGGCCGAATGCAAAAACCGTACTGAAATAAGTGTAACCTATATTTCGATATAGGTTGCAGAATGACATGTTTAATTTCATGTTAATGGTTCTTCAATAATGCGACGTCTGTTAGGATTCATCTGTTTAATATACCCACAGTGGTGAAGGGTATCATATAGTCGGCCCCGTCCGACTTTACTACTTTCCTTACTGTTTTTTTTTTTTTTTTTTTTTTTTGAAAAATCTACTTTTTATTTATGAAAAATTTCCCAAAGTATCGATCAATATAAACTGTGAAACTGAAGTCCGATAACATATTTATACTTCGAGGAATTATTCTTGGGAATAGAAATATTTCCCTAGAAGACGTATCCTTTTAATTTTTTCCTAGGCCCTAGTGAATTGTAGATTTCCATATTTCTGAAAATCATTCCTTTTTTAGTGGTAAAATCTCTAGTGATTTCTTTTCAACACTCATGTTTCTATTCAAATTATTCAAATCAAATTATAGGTTTGTGTGGCTTCCTAAGTCTGCAATGCCACAAAATAATGGTTATAGACCTAGTATACCTACCGTCATATCTCGATTATCTAAGTCGATTCGTTCATCTGTCCATTACAATTTGTAAACAATGCACAGGAGCAATTTTTACGAAATTGTATATCTTTTCTTCTATGGGGATCTATGTGTTCCGATATTGTTTAGTATTCCCATTTCTACACTAGAGGTCACAAATATCATACTAATTGTTACGAAATTTTATCGAAGACGGCATCTATAGAATTTGGTGGCGATCAAATGATATTTAGGTCAAATTTTTTGTGTCCGATTTTCTAGTCGCTCTAGAAGCCACGAATCAAATGGACCAAAACTCTTGTGAGAAAAGTAACAAATTTTGTGTATTATGGTATGGAATACATGATCCGGAAAAGTTTTCAATGTGTGCATTTTATTTTCCTTCTAATAACGTTTCAAATTTTGAAGTTTAACCTGACGTCGAACTTTTTTTCTTTAGATTAATATCTCTCCGGCCATAAGGTCTAATATTTCAAAAGCAACTAGTTCCTGAATTCCTTCTAATTTTTATTATAAAATATTTGGGTCTTAGCTTTATATAAAGAACATCTTGTTTGCTAAGTTTATAATTTTTCATAAAAAAAATCTGTAAGATATTTAGTTTACAATTTTTTATACGAAGAACATTGTAGTCTCTAAAGTTTCACATTTTTCTTTTATCTATTAAAAAATATCGATTCATTTGCAAATATTCTGCATTTTATTCCCCAAACAAAAATCATGCTCCAGCAAATTCTACATTTTAAACATGGGTGCGTATAACTACTATCAATGGATTATTATCAATCATACGATCCAATATCCCAAAACAATTTCTTTATTTACAAACAATATTAATTCCAAATTCTCTTCTTCTTCTTCTTCTCTTCATTTCCTTTAGATGTATGGTCGCTATACCAAAGATTTAGGAGAATTTGCCAAAGATGAAGCCAGAAAACTCAAGCTACTGCAGAAACGACGAAAGTTGGAGGACAAACAGAGGAATAAGGTAAGTTTGCAGAACAGATTCAAAAGAAAAAAAAAGAATTGACAGCAAAATAATTCTTTGTAAATTTACAACAAAATACACCCAACTAATATGCATGAGCAAACATGCTGCTTAACAACAACTAATTACAATATGAGAAACATATTTTTAAGGTAAACCAATGAAACCTTCTAATTAACATTCCTAGAACCTCAACCTCACAAAAAAAAAAGAATGGCAGCTAAACAAAGTAGAAATAAGAATCACAAAAAAGACATTGAAATTTGTATTTTGTGACGTAGTTGTTGTAATTTTAGATTTGTTTTTAAATTTTGTTGTAGTTGCTTTTGTTAAAATTTAGTTTAAAAACATTGTGCCAAAAATTTTAAGTGGTTTTCCCGACCATTTAATTTTAAACTGAAACGCGTTGATATTCTAAAAATAATTTTTGAAAATCATATCGATCATTTATTGGCATAGACGAAGCACAGTGAATCTCCATAGAAAAAAAATCGACTCAGTTACTGAGGTATTTTTTTCTACAGAAAAAAAAAATCGACATAAGCCTCCGAAGTATTTTTTCTATAGAACAAAATCAACCTCAGTTCCTGAGTTGTTATTTTATGTATAGAAAAAAATCCGACCTCAGTTCCTGAGGGGCTATTTTTTTTCTAAAGAAAAAATTCGACATCGGTTTCCTGAGTTGCTATTTTTTTTCTATAGAAAAAAAAATAGCAACTCAGGAACTGAGTCCGACTCAGTTTCTGATCTATTTTTTCTATATAGAAAAAAAATCGACCTCAGTTTGTGAGGGAATTTTTTTATAGAAAAAAATCCGACCTCAGTTCCTTAGGTGCTATTTTTTTCTATAGAAAAAAATTCGACCTCAGTTCCTGAGGTGCTATTTTTTTCTATAGAAAAAAATCCAACCTCATTTCTTGAGGTGTACTTTTTTTTATAGAAAACAATCCGACCTCAGTACCTGAGGTGCTATTTTTTCTATAGAAAAAAATTCGACCTCAGTTTCTGAGGTGCTATTTTTTTCTATAGAAAAAAATTCGACCTCAGTTTCTGAGGTGCTATTTTTCTATAGAAAAAAATTCGACCTCAGTTTCTGAGGTGCTATTTTTTTCTATAGAAAAAAATTCGACCTCAGTTTCTGAGGTGCTATTTTTTTCTATAGAAAAAAATTCGACCTCAGTTTCTGAGGTGCTATTTTTTTCTATAGAAAAAAATTCGACCTCGGTTTCTGAGGTGTACTTTTTTGCTATAGAAAAAAATCCGACCTCAGTTCCTGAGGCGTACTTTTTTCCTATAGAAAAAAATCCGACCTCAGTTCCTAAGGTGTACTTTTTTCTATAGAAAAAAAATCCGACCTCAGTTCCTAAGGTGTACTTTTTTCTATCGAAAAAAATCCGACCTCAGTTCCTTAGGTGCTATTTTTTTCTATAGGAAAAAATCCGACCTCAGTTTCTGAGGTGTACTTTTTTCTATAGAAAAAAATCCGACCTCAGTTTCTGAGGTGCTATTTTTTTCTATAGAAAAAAATCCAACCTCAGTTCCTGAGGTGCTATTTTTTTCTATAGAAAAAAATCCAACCTCAGTTCCTGAGGTGCTATTTTTTTCTATAGAAAAAAATTCGACCTCAGTTTCTGAGGTGTACTTTTTTCCTATAGAAAAAAAAATCCGACCTCAGTTTCTGAGATGTTCTTTTTTCCTATAGAAAAAAAATCCGACCTCAGTTCTTGAGGTGTACTTTTTTCCTATAGAAAAAAAATCCGACCTCAGTTTCTGAGGTGTACTTTTTTCCTATAGAAAAAAATCTGACCTCAGTTTCTGAGGTGTTCTTTTTTCCTATAGAAAAAAAATCCGACCTCAGTTTCTGAGGTGTAAAACTTCGACCTCAGTTCCTGCTTTTTTTCTATAGAAAAAAAATTCGACCTCAATTCCTGTGGTGCTATTTTTTTTCTATAGAAAAAATTCGACCTCAGTTCCTGAAGTCTACTTTTTCTATAGAAAAGAATCCAACCTCAGTTTCTGTGCAAAAAAATTCAACCACATGAATCACTGTGCCTCCCTTAAATTGCATTGCCTTTTCGAGTACCCTCCCCTCTTAACTCCCCCATTCTCCCTCTTAAATTAGAACCCATGTACCCCTACTCTACCAAAACAAATTGATTATAAAGCAGCAGTCCTGGGAAATATTTACAGGAACTCCTAGGAAAACGTGAGTCACGTGCATTTAAAGTCTCATCATGGATATGGAAACACACATTTGCCCGCCTTGGCGAAGATTGGGTATTTTTAGCCCTGCTGGGTATTATAATGGCCCTACTATCCTATATTATGGACAAGGGTATATCGATATGTACAAATGGTAAGTTTTACAGGCATTTTTAATTTTCTTCTTCCTTCTCATTTGGATTATTTTGTTTTAGCTCGCGTTTGGTTATATCGAGATCTAACATCTCAACCGATTGCCCAGTATTTTGCCTGGGTCTCATTACCCGTTTGTTTGATTCTCTTCTCGGCGGGTTTTGTACATCTGATAGCACCGCAGAGTATAGGTAAGGTTTTTTTGTTGGATAAATTTAATTTTTATGTTTTATGCTTTGGAACATTCACAACTCGAACCACCATTGTCCCGAACAGATAACATCGGTTTATGGGGACATAGACGAGTTATAGAAAATTTTACTTATATGTGCTTATAACAACCTACATTTTGAACCCCTGAAACATTTTTTATAATATACTCACCTACTTCTTCAAAAAATATTTCTCTCATCTAAATTTATTAAAACCATGTTCCACTGTTGTATATGAAAATCAATAACATTCTCTAATCTGCCAACATTTCATTAAAGTACAGCTAAGTAAATATTTAATTCGCAGTATAAAAATCCATTCAGTAGTCAACCAATTTTATTTTCAAAATTATATCCAAATTTAATTTTAAATATTGTAATTTTTTGAAATTAAAGTAAATATTCATAAAATTGTCAATTTTTTTTATGATTTCTTATAATTTTTTTATTTTTTCATAAAACTTTGCAATTTTTATCATAAATTGTTGTAATTCTTTATTCAATTTTTATTTTCAAAACCATTTTTTTCAAAATTTTTATTATAAGATCTTGTAAATTTTTTTACTTACTTACTTTACTTTAATGGTTTGTTGCTCACACACACATAAATTATTGTAATTTTTACTAACACTATTGAAAGAACTGAATGAAATTCTCTCCCACTAACAAACCTCTGTGACTCAGAGTTGCCATAAATGAATAATTCGAAGATCCCTCTAATAGAAAAAATGCATGACGTGTTCTGATACTAACAAAAGTGACAAAATGTGGAATAGACAATACCTTTATTACTTACTTAGCTGACTTGTTACAGAACGGTTGTTCCATAAGCCGAGCTTACAAAAGATTTCCAAGCGCGTCGGTCTTGTGCGCATCTCCTCCAATTTGAAAGACCACGTTCCAAGATGTTGTCTTCTACTTGATCTTTCCACCTAGCCATCAGTAGGCTGCCTTTTGAGCTGGGGCATTCTCATTCGTTCGCACAACATGGCCTAGCCACCGTAATCGCTGCAGCTCAATACGATTGACTATGTCGATGTCGGCGTACAAATTATAAAGCTCGTGGTTACCAGTCCATAATATATGGGCTTACTTACTTACTTAGCTGGCTTATGACAGAACGGTTGTTCCATAAGCCGAACTTAAAAAAGATTTCCAGGTGCGTCGGTCTTGTGCGCATCTCATCCAATTTGAAAGACAATTTTCCGAGATGTTGTCTTCTACTTGATCTTTCCATCGGATTCGTGGCCTTCCCCTTCTGCTGGCTTTTATATGCTTTTTTGAGCTGAGACAAGCGCGTCGGTCTTGTGCGCATCTCCTCCAATTTGAAAGACCACGTTCCAAGATGTTGTCTTCTACTTGATCTTTCCACCTAGCCATCAGTAGGCTGCCTTTTGAGCTGGGGCATTCTCATTCGTTCGCACAACATGGCCTAGCCACCGTAATCGCTGCAGCTCAATACGATTGACTATGTCGATGTCGGCGTACAAATTATAAAGCTCGTGGTTACCAGTCCATAATATATGGGCTTACTTACTTACTTAGCTGGCTTATGACAGAACGATTGTTCCATAAGCCGAACTTAAAAAAGATTTCCAGGTGCGTCGGTCTTGTGCGCATCTCATCCAATTTGAAAGACAATTTTCCGAGATGTTGTCTTCTACTTGATCTTTCCATCGGATTCGTGGCCTTCCCCTTCTGCTGGCTTTTATATGCTTTTTTGAGCTGAGACATCTTAATCCATTCAAGATGGCCTAGCCAACGTTGTCGCTGCAGCTCGATCCGCCTGACTATGTCAATGTCCGAGAATATATGGTATAGCTCATGACTCATTCGACGGCGATATTCAGCATCGACGCAAATCGGCCCATAGATCATCCGTAGAATTTTTCTCTCAAACCCTCCAAGAGCTGTCTCATCTACTTGTGCAAGTACCCATGCTTCAGATCCATACAACAGCACGGGTAATATCAGCGTCTTGTAGAGTGTGAGTTTGGTCTGGCGGGAGGTGGCCTTGTTTCTAAACTGTTTATTTAGACCATAATAACATTTGTTGGCCATCACTATCCTTCTCCGAATTTCAAAACTCATGTCATTAGTTTTATTTATGGCGGTACCAAGGCATATAAAATACTTAACTACCTCGAAGCTGTACTTCTTAAATTCTATCTTTGGTCCGAGGTCCTTTTCCAGCAGGATGTTAAAAAGATCACACGACAAAGTGTCACCCTGCCAGAATCCTCGTTCAGTATTGAAGGTTTCCGAGAGGTCCTTTCCTACTTTAACTGCTGACATTGTACCAGTTAAAGTTATCCTGCATTCCAAGTGCAAATTCTCAGGTCGTGGTTCTTTATACGTTTGCGGGGGTCGTCAACATTAGGGGGATTTGGTTTGTTCCCCTACGCCACGTTGACGCTCGTCCAGCTGTTTCAGCATATACATAGATATTCCGTCAGGGCCCAACGTCAGGGACAAACTGTCGGCTAAAATAACTGGCGCATCTCTTTGGGTCAGTCTCAGTTGCATCGTTAAATGTTACTGAGGTCCTATCATCCTTCTTGCCAGGGTTCGAGAGCGACGTAACCCTTGCCCACAGTTTACTTACACCGGTACCGATGTTGCAATTCTTTTGGTGCTCCAACCATCTATTCCGCTTTTGCTCCGCTGACTTATCTGCTGCCTCCAACATAATTTCCCTGATCCCTGATGACTTATCTGCTGACCTCCAACAAAATTTCCCTGATCCTGGGATCTGCTAGGTTAGATCGTCGGAGCTCATCACGCTCATTTGCAAGACAAACTGCTTCTACTTGGAAGTTAAGATCTAGCGACGACTCTAATGTATGGTTCACTAAAGTCAGGCTCAAGTGATATAGGCCCAACCTCCACATCTGGTGCGATCCTTCCTCAGAACTTTGTAACCATCACAACGCTGTAGGCTACAATTTTCATTGAGATTGGTTACCTGCACCGCCGCGGCCAAGTTCATGAAGTCCACAATATCGTATATTTTTCTTCGAAGACTGTTGCAATTAAATTGCAGAAACAATGCACTATCAGGAGTAGGGACAGCAACGTGCGGTGTTAAATGCTGCATATTGGGTTGCTGTTGAGGAGACTGTGGTGGAGTTCCGTAATCCGACGAAAAAGATGACGAAGACTCGCTGTAGTCTAGCAACCGGGCTAACTCGGAACAATTCCTAAAGTTCACACACTCCCTGCACCCATTACATTTTACCGACCTGTGGTGAATGATGTTCTGGCAAATCGAACAAAAACACGGTCCGGAGTTTTGTTCGATCCCGGCACGGCCCAAAGGAATCCGGAACAAGTATTTCGCATATGTTGCTCCCAAAGCAGAAAACATATATAACTGGGGTGGCAGCCGATGGCCGAGTGGTATTGAGCTACTTGTATGGCTCTCTCTGTCGCTAGTCGGGAAAACAAATTTTTCAGTTCCCAAGGAATGGTTATGGTAGCTTAGGAGTGGAGCCTGCGGCTTAATTTGACTCAACGCTGGGAAATTTCCCCGGTCCGAACATAAGTGTGTAATACAGATTGATAGCCTGTCAACTGACGAACTGGTTCAAAATAAATATTCTGCAAAAGGAACGAACGGTACCAGGTTCTATTCTTTCGGTACTAAATTCGATCTTCCCGTTCATTGACCGAATTCGTCGAAATATACGATTGAACTTAATAGAAGTATGAAACTAAATGAATGAATGAACAAGTTTTAAGTCTAGGAGCGAACCGAGGTTGACCATATCAAAAAGGTTTATTAGGTCACGAGGTATATTTTGTCATTTAAAAAAACTTCTATTTCAATTAAAAACCTAGGCCTAAAAACGAGCTATAACTGAGATTCGAGCCAAAAACAGATAAACGTAATCGATTTAGAATCCAAAATTGGTCAAAAACTTAAGTCACATTTAAAATTATCTATCATCCCCTCTGTCTTTCCACCCTACTAACTAACCTAAAATTAATTTTGAACTTTTTCAATTATAAAAAAATTGTATTAAACCCACCACAACAAACAATATATTATCCCCTATATCTTTAAGGTTCCGGTATACCCGAAATGAAAACCATTCTACGAGGGGTGGCCCTAAAAGAATATTTAACCTTTAAGACATTAGTGGCCAAAATTGTTGGTTTAACGGCAACTTTGGGCAGTGGTATGCCATTAGGAAAGGAAGTAAGTATTAAAATTGTCAAAATACAACAAAGCGCACAAACGAACGACAGGGTTGCCAACATCACTTTTTAATTTTCTCTATTTTTATTTCGTTTCATTATCCGAATCCGCATCTGTATCCCTCTAGGGTCCATTCGTACATATAGCAAGTATTGTAGCACAATTATTAAGTAAGCTAGTAACATCATTCCAAGGTATCTATGAAAATGAGTCCCGCAATTCGGAAATGTTGGCCGCTGCCTGTGCAGTGGGTGTGGGTGCGTGTTTTGCGGCGCCAGTTGGCGGTAAGTATACGAACTTTTCTGTTTTAATTAAAATTATGAAATTTCATGTTCGCTCTTCGTTCCTGCAGGTGTATTATTTAGTATAGAAGTAACAACAACGTATTTTGCGGTGCGTAACTATTGGCGTGGCTTTTTTGCGGCCGTTTGTGGTGCTACAGTGTTTCGTCTATTGGCCGTATGGTTCCAGAATGCCGATACTGTGCGGGCTGTGTTCTTAACAAATTTCACTACGGAATTTCCATTTGATCCTCAGGAATTATTTGTGTTTGCCTTGATGGGGTAAGTTTAAAGGATACACAACTTTTTAGATATTCAGCAAGGCTGCATAAAAAAATTCTTATAAAAATCTCTATTCCAATGGGCTAAATAATTAAAATAAATAATAAATGTGAGATTTTCTATAGTATTCACTATTCAGATGGGCTGTATAGCATATTTCATCTAGAAAACTCTATTCAGCCTGGCTGAATATGATATTTCCTACAGAAAACTCTATTCAGACCGGCTGAATATGATATTTCCTATAGAAAACTTTATTCAGCCTGGCTGAATGTGAGATTTCCTACAGAAAACGCTATTCAGCCTGGCTGAATAAGAGATTTCCTACAGAGAACGCTATTCAGCCTGGCTGAATAAGAGATTTCCTACAGAAAACGCTATTCAGCATGGCTGAATGGGAGATTTCCTACAGAAAACGCTATTCAGCCTGGCTGAATAAGAGATTTCCTACAGAAAACTCTATTCAGCCTGGCTGAACATGAGATTTCCTATAGAAAACTCTATTCAGCCAGGCTGAATATGAGATTTCCTAGGCTGCATATCAGATTTCTATTCAGCTAGGCTGAATATTATATTTCTTACAAAAATCTTTATACAGCTAAGCTGAATATGAGATTTCTTACAGAAAACTCTATTCAGCTGGGCTGAATATGAGATTTCTTATAGAAAACTCTATTCAGCTAGGCTGAATATGATATTTCCTATAGAAAACTTTATTCAGCCTGGCTGAATGTGAGATTTCCTACAGAAAACGCTATTCAGCCTGGCTGAATAAGAGATTTCCTACAGAGAACGCTATTCAGCCTGGCTGAATAAGAGATTTCCTACAGAAAACGCTATTCAGCATGGCTGAATGGGAGATTTCCTACAGAAAACGCTATTCAGCCTGGCTGAATAAGAGATTTCCTACAGAAAACTCTATTCAGCCTGGCTGAACATGAGATTTCCTATAGAAAACTCTATTCAGCCAGGCTGAATATGAGATTTCCTAGGCTGCATATCAGATTTCTATTCAGCTAGGCTGAATATTATATTTCTTACAAAAATCTTTATACAGCTAAGCTGAATATGAGATTTCTTACAGAAAACTCTATTCAGCTGGGCTGAATATGAGATTTCTTACAGAAAACTCTATTCAGCTGGGCTGAATATGAGATTTCTTATAGAAAACTCTATTCAGCTAGGCTGAATATGATATTTCCTATAGAAAACTTTATTCAGCCTGGCTGAATGTGAGATTTCCTACAGAAAACGCTATTCAGCCTGGCTGAATAAGAGATTTCCTACAGAGAACGCTTTTCAGCCTGGCTGAATAAGAGATTTCCTACAGAAAACGCTATTCAGCATGGCTGAATGGGAGATTTCCTACAGAAAACGCTATTCAGCCTGGCTGAATAAGAGATTTCCTACAGAAAACTCTATTCAGCCTGGCTGAACATGAGATTTCCTATAGAAAACTCTATTCAGCCAGGCTGAATATGAGATTTCCTAGGCTGCATATCAGATTTCTATTCAGCTAGGCTGAATATTATATTTCTTACAAAAATCTTTATACAGCTAAGCTGAATATGAGATTTCTTACAGAAAACTCTATTCAGCTGGGCTGAATATGAGATTTCTTACAGAAAACTCTATTCAGCTGGGCTGAATATGAGATTTCTTATAGAAAACTCTATTCAGCTAGGCTGAATATGAGATTTCTTATAGAAAACTCTATTCAGCTAGGCAGAATATGAGATTTCCTATAGAAAACTCTATTCATCCTGGCTGAATATGAGATCTCCTATAGAAGACACTATTCTGCCTGGCTGAATATGAGATTTCCTATAGAAGACACTATTCAGCCAGGCTGAATATGAGATTTCCTATAGAAAACTCTATTCAGCCAGGCTGAATATGAGATTTCCTATAGAAAACTCTATTCAGCCAGGCTGAATATGAGATTTCCTATAGAAAACTCTATTCAGCCAGGCTGAATATGAGATTTCCTATACAAGACACTATTCAGCCTGGCTGAATATGAGATTTCCTATAGAAGACACTATTCAGCCAGGCTGGATATGAGATTTCCTATAGAAAACTCTATTCAGCCAGGCTGAATATGAGATTTCCTACAGAGAACGCTATTCAGCCTGGCTGAATAAGAGATTTCCTACAGAAAACGCTATTCAGCATGGCTGAATGGGAGATTTCCTACAGAAAACGCTATTCAGCCTGGCTGAACATGAGATTTCCTATAGAAAACTCTATTCAGCCAGGCTGAATATGAGATTTCCTATAGAAAACTCTATTCAGCCAGGCTGAATATGAGATTTCCTATAGAAAACTTTATTCAGCCTGGCTGAATGTAAGATTTCCTACAGAAAACGCTATTCAGCCTGGCTGAATGTAAGATTTCCTACAGAAAACGCTATTCAGCCTGGCTGAATATGAGATTTCCTATAGAAGACACTATTCAGCCAGGCTGAATATGAGATTTCCTATAGAAAACTCTATTCAGCCAGGCTGAATATGAGATTTCCTATAGAAAACTCTATTCAGCCAGGCTGAATATGAGATTTCCTATAGAAAACTCTATTCAGCCAGGCTGAATATGAGATTTCCTATAGAAAACTCTATTCAGCCAGGCTGAATATGAGATTTCCTATAGAAAACTTTATTCAGCCTGGCTGAATGTGAGATTTCCTACAGAAAACGCTATTCAGCCTGGCTGAATAAGAGATTCCCTACAGAAAACGCTATTCAGCCTGGCTGAATAAGAGATTTCCTACAGAGAACGCTATTCAGCATGGCTGAACATGAGATTTCCTATAGAAAACTCTATTCAGCCAGGCTGAATATGAGATTTCCTAGGCTGCATATCAGATTTCTATTCAGCTAGGCTGAATATTATATTTCTTACAAAAATCTTTATACAGCTAAGCTGAATATGAGATTTCTTACAGAAAACTCTATTCAGCTAGGCTGAATATGAGATTTCTTATAGAAAACTCTATTCAGCTAGGCTGAATATGAGATTTCTTATAGAAAACTCTATTCAGCTAGGCAGAATATGAGATTTCCTATAGAAAACTCTATTCTGCTTGGCTGAATATGAGATTTCCTATAGAAGACACTATTCAGCCAGGCTGAATATGAGATTTCCTATAGAAGACACTATTCAGCCAGGCTGAATATGAGATTTCCTATAGAAAACTCTTTTCAGCCAGGCTGAATATGAGATTTCCTATAGAAAACTCTATTCAGCCAGGCTGAATATGAGATTTCCTATAGAAAACTTTATTCAGCCTGGCTGAATGTGAGATTTCCTACAGAAAACGCTATTCAGCCTGGCTGAATAAGAGATTCCCTACAGAAAACGCTATTCAGCATGGCTGAATGGGAGATTTCCTACAGAAAACGCTATTCAGCCTGGCTGAATAAGAGATTTCCGACAGAAAACTCTATTCAGCCTGGCTGAACATGAGATTTCCTATAGAAAACTCTATTCAGCCAGGCTGAATATGAGATTTCCTAGGCTGCATATCAGATTTCTATTCAGCTAGGCTGAATATTATATTTCTTACAAAAATCTTTATACAGCTAAGCTGAATATGATATTTCTTACAGAAAACTCTATTCAGCTAGGCTGAATATGAGATTTCTTATAGAAACTCTATTCAGCTAGGCTGAATATGAGATTTCTTATAGAAAACTCTATTCAGCTAGGCAGAATATGAGATTTCCTATAGAAAACTCTATTCATCCTGGCTTAATATGAGATCTCCTATAGAAGACACTATTCTGCCTGGCTGAATATGAGATTTCCTATAGAAGACACTATTCAGCCAGGCTGAATATGAGATTTCCTATAGAAAACTCTATTCAGCCAGGCTGAATATGAGATTTCCTATAGAAAACTCTATTCAGCCAGGCTGAATATGAGATTTCCTATAGAGAACTCTATTCAGCCAGGCTGAATATGAGATTTCCTATAGAAAACTCTATTCAGCCAGGCTGAATATGAGATTTCCTATAGAAAACTCTATTCAGCCAGGCTGAATATGAGATTTCCTATAGAAAACTCTATTCAGCCAGGCTGAATATGAGATTTCCTATAGAGAACTCTATTCAGCCAGGCTGAATATGAGATTTCCTATAGAAAACTCTATTCAGCCAGGCTGAATATGAGATTTCCTATAGAAAACTCTATTCAGCCAGGCTGAATATGAGATTTCCTATAGAAAACTCTATTCAGCCAGGCTGAATATGAGATTTCTTATAGAAAACTCTATTCAGCCAGACTGAATATGAGATTTCCTATAGAAAACTCTATTCAGCCAGGCTGAATATGAGATTTCCTATAGAAAACTCTATTCAGCCAGGCTGAATATGTGATTTCTTATAGAAAATTCTATTCAGTTCGGCAGAATATGAAATTTCTTATAGAAATCTCTATTCAGCTCGGCTGAATATGAGATTTCTTACAGAGAACACTATTCAGACAAGCTTTAAATCTGTTTGATAAAAACCAACCCCACCGAACTGTTCTAACATATTTTATTTTCTTTTGTATTTTAGGGTAGTTTGCGGTCTTGGTGGTGCTGCTTATGTCTGGGTACATCGAAGATACGTCCTGTTTATGCGCTCGAATAAGAAAATGAACAAGTTCCTCCAAAAGAAGTAAGTATCTACACCGCGGAGATTTTTTAAAATTTATTTTAATAGGGTCCTTCCGTAGGCATGGGTTTTTAAAATTATTTTATTTGGGGCGTGGTTTTTATTAACATATTTTTCCACATCCTTCCAGAGGTGTGGATTTATAAAAATATTTTTCTATAAAAAATCAGTACTGACTTCTTCATTTGCTTTTTCTTTCCAGTCGCTTTTTGTATCCTGGCTTCTTGGCTTTGTTGGTATCGACGATTTCCTTCCCCTTGGGCACGGGCCAGTTTATTGCCGGTGAATTGGGTACCCATGAACAGGTCACCCAGCTGTTTAGTAACTTTACCTGGTCACGCGATGATTTGACCGTGGAACAGGCCGCCATTGTTACCCATTGGGTGACACCCTACACCAATGTATTTATCAATCTGACATGCTATGTTATATTTACGGTAAGTTCTCCGGAATTAAAATCAGAATTTCAAAAATTTAAAAAATTCTTTCTCTTCCAGTTCGTCTTCTCCATTATTGCCTCCACAATACCCGTACCCTCGGGTATCTTCATACCCGTTTTCAAAATTGGTGCCGGTTTGGGCCGTTTGATAGGTGAAAGCATGCATTTGTGGTTCCCCAACGGGGTGCGCTATGGTGGCCGCCTCTCACCCATCAATCCCGGCGGTTATGCTGTTGTAGGTGCTGCCGCATTTTCGGGAGCTGTCACTCACACCGTCTCCGTGGCGGTGATTGTCTTCGAAATGACTGGCCAGATTACGCATGTGGTGCCGGTGATGATAGCTGTACTGATTGCCAATGCGATAGCAGCCCTACTCCAGCCCTCTATGTATGATAGTATTATACTTATCAAGAAGTTGCCATATCTACCCGATCTGTTGCCCTCAAGTTCGGGTATGTATAGCATCTATGTGGAGGACTTTATGGTACGCGATGTCAAATACATTTGGCAAGGCATCACCTATCAGCGTCTCAAAGAAGTACTGAAGAGTAATAAGACTCTGCGTTCCCTGCCGCTGGTCGATAGTCCCGAAAATATGATCCTGCTCGGGTCGGTACAGCGTTACGAACTGATCAAAATGATTGAGAAACACATCGGCCGTGAGAAGCGTATGGAAGTGGCCCAGAAATGGAAAAAAGAAGCCGAAGAGCGGATACGCGAAGAGGAACGTAAAAAGCAAGAAGCCGAACAGCGCATGCGCCGCCCGTCACGTTTCGAAGTTCTGCCCGCTCCCGATATTTTGAGCCTACGTCAAATTGCCAACGATGAAATGTTACCGCCCAAGAAGAAGCAGGAAACCCTCAACAATACCCTCCAGCCTCGCAAATCCATCCTCAAAAAGACAAACTCATTTAATCTTAAAGCCTTTACACCTACCTCATTGAATAGTCCTAGCATAACGCCATATTCCACAATAACCGGTGCCGAACAGCGCATCCGTAATGCGTTCGAGACCATTTTCAAGAAATCTACCACCTTACAAGATGTTCAGCCGAGCGGTGATGGCCAGGAGCCGGGTTCAATATCTGCGGCGGCTAGTACGGGTGATATGACACCGGGTACACCGACTGTCCAGAGGGCGCCCAGTACACCGGGTATCTCGAAAAAAGTTCAATTGGTGAGTGATGAAGTTTTAATTTTTGTTGGTTTGTTTGGCATGGGGTTTGAATAATTGTTATTGTTATTGGTGTTTGTGTCCTAACCTCTATTGTTGTTTTTGTAATTATTTTTTTTGTTGTTGTAATTTTTGTCTCTGCATGGTATTTACGAACAAAAAGAATGCACAAAACAAACCTCAATCTGAGGAGGATGCAAATATGGTAATACATTTTTAAAACTCTTTCACGATTCGAACTGAAGCATGGTCACTAAAATTCGACTCCCCTCTTTCCCAAAAAAAAAAATCCCCTGTGGTCCTACCGCTCCTTTATCCCAGACAGGTAGTCTAAATATACTTATTCCGACTTAGACTTATTGTTGAAAAAACACACCTGTGTTGGGGTGTTGAAAAAATATTTAAAAAAAATCCACGCCTATGGAAGGATCTTGAACAAATATTTAAAAAAAAAAAATCCACGCCTATGGAAGGACCTTGAAAACATATTTTTAAAAAATCCACGCCTATGGAAGGACCTTGAAAACATATTTTTAAAAAATCCACGCCTATGGAAGGACCTTGAAAACATATTTTTAAAAAATCCACGCCTATGGAAGGACCTTGAAAACATATTTTTAAAAAATCCACGCCTATGGAAGGACCTTGAAAACATATTTTTAAAAAATCCACGCCTATGGAAGGACCTTGAAAACATATTTTTAAAAAATCCACGCCTATGGAAGGACCTTGAAAATATATTTTAAAAAAATCCACGCCTATGGAAGGACCTTGAATAAATATTTAAAAAAATCCACGCCTTTGGAAGGACATTGAAAACATATTTTTAAAAAATCAAGTGTTATTTTTAATTTTTATGTAGTGTATTTGTTGTTGATGTAATTCAATGTGGTATGTACAATAGGTTATAGGTAATGTTGTAATTCAAGGGGGTATGTACAATGGGTTGTAATGTTGTAATGGGACCTGCAGTACCAATTTCCGCGACATTCCCTTTGTTTATTGACATACCTTTTTCCCAAGGGGTATGTACAATGTACAATAGGTTATAGGGATTGTAATGTTGTAATTCAAGGGGGGTACGTGCAATTTCTTTTAGGTTTAGTTTTAGGTTAAAATAAATTTTAGGCCAACGAGGGGTGTGCAAAAAAATATATATATAAGGATTTTAACCTTTTTTAATTATTTATATTATTTATGTTTTTAATTACAAGGTAAGTATATGTAATTCAGTAATGTTGTGTAATTGTATGTGTGTATGTGTTTTAACAACTTGGGTGTTTGTTCAATTTATGTTTTTAACAATTTGCGTTTTGTGTGTTTTTAACAATTTGTGTTTTGTGTGTTTTTAACAATATTTGTGTTTTGTATGTTTTTAACAATTTGTGTGTTTTGTATGTTTTTAACAATTTGTGTGTTTTGTATGGTTTTAACAATTTGTGTTTTGTGTGTTTTTAACAATATTTGTGTTTTGTATGTTTTTAACAATTTGTGTGTTTTGTATGTTTTTAACAATTTGTGTTTTTTGAATTTGTGTGGTTTAATTATTGTTTGTATTTTGTCACTGCGGGGAGAACGGACGCTTAGAACACCGGTAAAAGACTAGACTTACTTCGTTGCAACAATCGCTTATAAGCCCTGCTTATGTTTTCCAATATATTGGAAGGCAACGAGAAGTAATGAGAGCAGTTGCTGATGTATGTATGTATATTATGTGTACATATATACACCGTTGCAAACCGCTAACCAGAAAACATACTTTCGGTAAACGGAACAGTGGGGAACAAAAGTTTTCCCTTGATATTTTTTAAAGAATATGGTCCGAGACCATACATTCTCCCCCCCACAGTGACACAGTGTTGAAATCTCCGCTCAAGCTCTTGGCATGTTTTTAATTGGCCCAGATAGCACAAAGCCCACCGCAGTCTCGTAGGCATAGACGTCCCCAAGACCAGTAAATAATCTACCTTCACGCCTTAATGCTGAGTAAGTATCGCCACCAAGCTCAATTTCTATTGGGGTATTGCCTCTGGGGTCCACATCAGCCAGTCGGTTGCTAGGAATATCATGGGCTGGGTCTTCGATAATGGGGTCATCATACGGCCGGTAAGGGAGCTCATTCGTGATGAGAGCATTCACCTTTAAAGCCCACGTATCGTTAGTGTTTCGCCCCATGATTTTAAAGGTTGTGAATCTGCGCTCCTTGTGCAGGAAGGATCTCAAACCAAGTCTTCTAAAGGACGAGTATGATATCCTGGACATCACTGATGCTTGGTTTATTAGGGATCTGAGGGTGGCATACGTCTCCATGCCAGTGCCCATCACACGTACCATAGCCGTAGGTACAAAAACCAAATCCCAGGTAAACTTGGTAATCACATCAAGCATAGGTGGCTGGGGGTCCTCTATCTGTGGGGCATCGTGAAGGAGCGTGTGATGTCGGACGTTACATTTGCGACAGGTTGCGAGGGATGAGCAGTCCGGCGCCAAATGGCTCCTGGCTAAACAATTTCTACAGTAGCTCCGTCTCTCTACAGTCTCGTAACGTTGTTGGGGTGAGAGGCTCAGGAATCTTTGACATGAGCTGATGGCATGGTCCTCTTGGCAAAGACCACAGGCTCGCTGCCAATAGCTGGGATGTTCTTGGCGATCAATTCGATGGGGGCGATACGAAGACCGGCTTCTTGAAGGCTGGTGTTGGCGATTCGGTGAGCGGGATCGTGGTTGGGCTGGTCTTGGGGCTCGGTGGTTAACTTCCATGTTGGGTTCTTCCAAGTAGGCTGCCATATCTGAAAAGAGGGAGAGGCGAGTACCAAGATTTCTGCAAATAAGGGGTCTGACTAGTTAGTCAGAAAATAATTTGACGACTTTTGTTATGGGTCGAGTCACTGTTCCTCCAGTAGTACGGATATCTACCACTCTAACATTGGTGTCTACCCCCTGGTATGTTTTCTCTATTCTTCCCAGTTTCCACTCATTGGGAGGCAGTCGGTCGTCTTTAATGACTATCAAATCTCCTTGTTTTAAATTGTCCTTCTGATATTTCCATTTAGTTCTACGGTGTAATTCCCTAAGATACTCTAACTTCCATCTCTGGCAAAAATTTTGGGAAATAATCTTGAGTCGTTTCCAACGGTTAGCAAAGTTTATATCGCTGTCTGACAAATCAGGTTCAGGTGGAGCAAGAATTGGCGTGCCAATCAAAAAGTGACCCGGTGTTAATGGGGATAGATCGTTAGGGTCCTCACTAGCAGGACTGAGGGGTCTGGAATTCAGGCATGCTTCAATGCGTATTAAAATAGTACAAAGTTCCTCAAAAGTGAAGTTCATTTTCGGAACAGATTTGCGCAAATGAGTTTTAAAGGATTTCACACCTGCCTCCCAGAGGCCGCCCATATGTGGAGCGCCAGGAGGAATGAATTTCCAAGCGAGATTATGTTGCATATTTTGGTGGATAACCGAATTTTGTAATGTTTTTAGAAAATTGAGTCTATCCTTTTTCAAGATTTCTGCGGCTCCAACGAAGTTAGTCCCATTATCCGAGTATATGCATGATGGGCATCCTCGTCGACCAATAAATCGAGAGAATGCTGCTAGGAACGACTGAGTTGATAAATCGCTAGTTGCTTCCAAGTGTATAGCCTTGGTAGCGAAACAAACGAAGACGCACACATATCCTTTGGTGATCAAACAAGCTCTTCCAGTAAAGTTTTTTATGTTGAATGGTCCAGCGAAATCGACCCCTGTTGTGGTAAATGGCCGTGATAACATGGTCCTTTCTGGTGGCAGAGATGCCATTATCTGCTTTTGAGCATGACTTTTGTACAATATACACGGCTTACAGTTGTTGACAACCTTTTTGATCAACGGTTTTAATCTGAATATCCAGAATTCAGACCTCAATATGCGTGTTAGTAACTGGTTTCCACCGTGTAGGGTGACTTTATGTGAAAATTCAACAAGCAACTGAGCCAACTTCGCATTATATGGTAGAATAATAGGATGACGCTCATTGTAGGTTAGTGCCGGCGATTGTACGAGTCTACCATTTGCGCGCAAAATGCCTTTTGTATCTAGAAAAGGGTTTAAAGTCAGCAGAGAACTGTTTGGTGATATTCGAGCCCGCTTTTGTAATATGTCGTACTCATCGGGAAAATAGAATTTCTGGGTTCGTATAATAGCGGCTCGTTTTCCGTTTTGAATCTCCTCTGCGGTAAGCTCCAACGAAGAAACTTGATGATGTCGCCTATTTCCACCGGCATTCCGCCAAAATCTCAAAGCATATGCATATGTGCGATAAAGTTTTGATAGAGAGGAAAAATTCTGCAAGGGATCTTCATCGATGTTAATCGCCAGAATTTTTACAGTTTTTGCTTCTAGATTAGTTTCTTCATTAACTTCCTTTAGTGGCCACCTGGCTTTCGGTAATTTTAACCATTGCGGGCCATGCCACCACAGCTGGTGACTATTCAATTCATTGGGATGTGATTCCAACTTTCATTCCCCACATTGTCTAAAATCTCAGATATTCTATTTCCTACAAAAGTTGACCAATGACACGGAGGTTTTTTGAGCTCCCACGCCAGGACTATCGTAGCAAAAAAGTCTGATAAGATCCTTTGATATTGAGTTTGATTGGGGTCCAGCAAGATTTGCCGGTACATTTTTGTCACATCGGCGTTGAAGACGTATCTAAAAAATCTCCATTTCAGCACTTGTAAAACAATATCCTGTTGTAAAATTGGTCCCGCTAATAAATTATCATTTAAGCTCCTTTTATTTGATGTTGGACTCGAGGC